TTTAAATTTAAAACAAGAGATTAAATAGGGAGCTTTTGGATACAAGAATAGTGTAACACTATCCTATCAGGGACTAACATGTTAGCATATCCAAAGTTGGAGGAGTCCACTTTGCTTTTCCCATTTCTTCAACAATAAGAAAAGTCCATGTCGGAAACACTGTGCAGCTTCAAAACACAAACTTCCCAAGTTTTTTGCCATTCACCGTGCACTCATGGTGCACCTACATTGTTGAGCCACCCAACTTGGGAGGGCTAGCTCAACAGTTTTCTAGATTAGAGTGCAAGACCTACGCTTGATCTTAGTTTTAGTTTAGGTTTTCCATTCTTGTTCATATTCATCTTCAAAGATTGCCATTTTTGTTAATTTTTAAGGATTTGGGAACAATTTAGCCTTGTAAGTGGGTTTGCCCGCCTTGTAAGTGGGTATGCCTATTGATTTGGTTAGTTTTTTTTTTCTTCTGTGTATTCTTCTCTAATATTTGTTTATGTAAATGGGTTGAATGCTTTCTGCCTTTTCTTCTTTGTTTCTGCATAATTGCCAACTTATCGCCTATTTAACTTCAATTTCTAGATTAGTATTTAATTTCACAAGTTTCCAAACTATAATCAATTCATAGATTATCTTTTGGTTTTAATAATCAAATAGTCTAATTATCTTTGTTTTAAATTTGCAAGTAATTAGCTCAATTTCTAAGAAATCATTATGGTCTGCATAGTTAAAATCATTCTTTGTAATTTTATATAGTCTGTTGACTACAAATTTATTTTTATGGCATACTGTTTTCTTTTATTTATTTCATTTTAGGATAATTACTTTAGGATATTATGTTTAATTTAGGATTTGTAACTTTTGTTATACCGTTGTGGTTTTAAAGTTCTTAAAGATATTGAAGGCAATTAGTATTCCATTTTGCAGAACTCTATCTTTTCTTTTGCAACATCGTGTTCTTTCCGGTTATTCTTTTGGATGTCAACCATTGGGAAAAGGAAAGGTCATCTAGAAAGTCCAATTTTCTTATTTTTAGACAAAGTAAGTGGCACGCCTTATACTCAAACTCACATAGTTGAAGCCATTTAAGGATTTTTGAGGAAACACTTGGAGAATAGGAATAAGATTCAAAGAGCATTTATAAATCACAACAGAAGGCAGCAACAAAACTGCAGAAAGAATACAGAATACAATGTAACCCATAATGTAAACTCAAAATCCCAAAATTAAAAAAAAAAAAAGTAATAAAAAAAAATGCAAATCGAATGATCTTCAGTTCTCACATGTTATTGTCAGTATCTTCAATAGCCAATTAACGGCTTTCAAAGAAAGAAGATGCAGACCCAGGAGTCCAGGACCCCCAAGATAAAAAAAGAAAGAAAAAAAACCCCAAACAGGAACAGAGATTAATTGTTCCCCAAAAAGAAATGCTATGAAGTATCATGACAGATCTACAGGCCCTGGTCAATAAGATAATTGCCGAACCTCTCTACAACCATGTTGCACTGTCCTGGAGTCACAGGTTCTTCATAGATTCCAAAAACAAGAGCTTGACAAGTCTTCTGAATAGTGATGCCTCCAGATCCCTGAAAAAACCAAAGGACATGGAATTCTGAATCAGATCAACTATGGTGACAAATGGACAATTATGAAAAGGATTTGCAGAAAAATTTAAGGTGTTTGTAGATTATGTTATCACCTTCTTTCCACGAATGACAGCACCCGGCTCTCCCTGGATCACCATGTACTTAACGCCCGCAATGTGTAGGCCTGTAGGGGCAAGGTAGCCTGGTTCGTCAAAATCCTTAATGATATCAGCGATCTCGTTTGGCTTGACCTGGAAACACATAGTTACAAAACAGCACCAAATTCAATCAGGAAAATCCTTCGAAGCTATCGAATAACAAACAAACATCTATACCTAAACAGGGATGTGATGTCAATATTATGTAATAAAGAGTATATGAGCAAAATTTGGTATTGATGAAATCTATTAATTGAGGAAAAGAAACCATCTAATAATTGATATCTACTAATTGATAGTTCATGTAGCGCAACAACTGGTTGCTGATATCTAATGGTTGATATTATTATCTAACTACGATTCAAATCCTATTAGAGAAAATAATTGTCTATAATTTCTAACTGCTAAACCAAACAGAGCTTTATAGTAGATTCCGAATCAAGTAAATCAAATCAAACCAAATAATACAAAAACGGCATTTGTTACATCAGGCACCTATTGAACCTAATGTGAGCAGATCAATCTGATATTATCGAAAATGAGCACCGATTATCCTTCGAACTGGATCAAATCGAAATTCGAAGCCACGATGTAAATGTTGAACACTTGGATCGGTCAAATTAACAAAGAAAACGGATTAAAGAGAAAGGAAAAGAAGATCACCTGAGGGAAGTTGGCGCTTTGAGCCCAGACGCGACCGTCGTGACCGATGATGGCGGCGGAAGCAAGGTGCTGGCCTTGGCCATCGATGTCGTCCATCAAGTACTCATCAACGTAGCTTTGAAACGACATTTTGGGACTGTTCTCGGGTAGTGGTTAGCGGTGGTTCGCACTGTGCGATTGTGGAGAAATTGGTGGAGATGGAAGTGATGGAATTGGAGATTATGATGATAAATAAGGAAGGAAGAGATGATTGGTGCATTCTTGGGCGTCCGTTTTGATCGATTCAATTTACGTCCGCCTTTTTTTTAGGACTGACTCCGTGTTCTTTGCGTCCCTCCCATCCCTTACTGGCTGTGGCCACGTTCCTCCTCTCTTCCTTCTATTTTTACGTATTTCACTTTCTTGACTAGAACGTTGTCTTTTTTCCCTAAATGCAAGGAGTAGCATTCATTTTTTTTAATAATTTTCTTTTTTTATTTTAGCATTAATAAAATTTTATACTAACGATTTATTGGTTTGATTTGAATAAAAAGAATTTAATTTTTTTTAAATAAAGTTTTGAGTTTGACTCTTATAAATGAAACAAATGCTGAGAGAGTTTTTTCGTTGAGGGCATCCAACATGACTCAATTTTAAATTAAAACCTTTGTGATGTCAAATAACTAACCTTCTTCCAATAAATCAAAAAAAAAAATGATAAAGTTTAGGGTGAGCAGTAAGATTATCGAATTGAACAGAAGATATTTATGGTGGTATAATTATACAGATGGCTTATATATATCTACAAAAAAATGGCTGGCGGCAAGACTGGAATGGAAGAACAAATAGTCGAAGCCTTCAAACCTTGGTAGTTGAGGGAACTCTTATCAACCATGTATGTTTATACTTCAATTTTGGCTGGGACTCTATTTTCATTGTTGTGCTGTGGTTTATTAGGCTTGGGAGGAACCAAGAGGCCTTTAAAAAAGAAAAGGATGGCTTACCAGCAGACGTTTCATGCTTACAAATCATTTGGCAGAAGAAGCAAATTATCCCAAGAACAAACACCCATCCCTTGAACTAAAAATAAAGAGAGACATCTGGCCTAGTGAGGAGTCACATTGGGTGGCTTATTATATGTTTTTGATGCAGTTTTAAAATTAAAAGACTAATCTTGTAATTTTATAGGTTTTAGCATATTAAATCACTCCTTTTTACATTCTTTCTTGTAAGATCTTTGTTCTTCAAACTCAACATTCCCCTTTTTCACTTATGAGTTGTGAAAGGCTCTTATGAGAGATTTTTTTTTTTTAAGCATATACATTCATAGGTATATTTCATTTTTTTTTAACATATACATCCATGAGTATACTTATCACAGGCACAACTTCATCCATAGATATACTTCTCATAGTTATACATTATATACAATATCACTTCCTAAACCTAACCCGAAATTGAAATGCCATACCATTAGTTGTGTTAGATTATTGGCTATGATACCACTTAAACTCATTAATTTGAAATATTTCCTCTGTCTTTAGTTTCTCCACAAATTTGTTATTGGGTAGGCATTGAAAATGGAACATACAATTCAGCTGTTGAAGATATAGAGGAAACACTGAAAACACTCTGCATTTTTGTGCTGATAAAAAAAAAAAAAAATTCACTTTGCATTTTTGCTATTGGCTGTGGCACCATCCGAAAAATTTGCGAGGTTTTGTTGAGACCGCAAGAAAATCTCCCTAATAAGATAAAAGTATCACCCACCCGGCCAGATATGATTTTCCCCTAAAAGCAGCACTTTCTAGTTTTTTCCAATTTATGTCTATGTAAATTAATAGTTAAGAAAACTAGCATCGACATACCGTTCAGAATTTTAAATTAATGCTCTAATACTATGTTAGAATTGAAAGTTTGATTTGTAACTCTCGAACAATAGTTAGAAAACTATTGATCTCAAAGTTACTTTGTGTTAGCTGAAGCTAGCATACCAAATGGACTTTCATCTGATGTGGGGGATTTATGGTTGTGTATGGATGTGTATATAAATACAGGTAGATAAGGAGTGAGAATATTGTCACTTTACTAATAGTTAATATTACACTTTTTTAATTTATTTGACTGTTATACCATTGCACTATATCTTTTTTTAAAACTCTCTGCATTTTTTTTAAAAAATATATATAATAATAGTCAATTTCTTCCTTGACAGAAATTAAGAATTTAAAACATCTACCTAAAATATGGACTATATGACCAATTAAAAGTGGAAAAAGCATGTTGAAGTATACAGCCATAGTCTAATTAAACAATTATTAAAGCTACAGATCTGCTGCTACTTCTTGGGTGATGAAGATTAAAGCATGACAGTTCAGTTCTTACCTAATAAGAATCAAAGGTATTTGGACATCTCTGAATGTATAAGAGATCCCACACCATAGTTGATTATCTTGTTTAATAAGATAGGAATTATCGTTTCCCTTTTCACAAAATGGACACTACCTACAGCTATAACTAGTGCGCAACAAGCAAATTCATAACTTGCATGACAACAGCAGCCAACTCATCAAAAGGCTTCCAGATTGCTATTTTCACCCTGTCAACTCCATCTTGATAACATTATAAATTGCACAAAAGAGAAAAGCAACCGTACAACTTGCAATGCTCTTGATAAGTTTGATAACACTATAGGTAGTACTTTGAAAATGCCTTTCAAAAGAAAACCAAAAAAAAAAAAAAAAAAAAAAAAGGGAGTACTTTGAAAACACTCTAGGGTTTCGATTTCCTCATCATTTTTATTTCTCTTATTTTGTTGTCGTTTAATGAAACAAACAGACAGATAATAATACAAGCCGTTAATGAGACCTAACAAAACCTTCTTCCCATTAATTACACCTCTTGGTACAACATTGGGTGCTTTTTGTTTATATATATATATTTTTTATTTTTTGAGGTTGCAAAAAAAAAAAAAAATGATGTTTTAGTATTAAAAATACCAAAATGTTCAGTTATAATTACAAGTGAAATATAACGTAAGTCTTAAAATTTATTTATTATGTTGTTAAAATTAAAAATCTTGATTTTTTAATTAATGTTTTGTTTTGGATTCAAAGGAAAACTCCGAAATGGTGGCCTATAAACAAATTGGAGATTCCAATTTCACATGTTCTTGCATCCTAAGCATTCTTCATGGAGGACATGTATCACTCATCTCATAGCTAGAGATCATATTTCACTATAAAAAAAATTTGTATTACCGAGCACAAAGGGCATCTCATTATAGACCAGTTTCTTCTCCACCTCGTACGGGCAAGCTATTGGATAAAATGTGTTGGGCCGTAGATTTGGACTTAGATCTGAATATTTTCTATATAATATTTACGGTCCATATGGATAACCACTTCAAAATTATTGCAAGAAAAATTTATACTCTGTGATATGTTTAATTTGATAGGAGGGGAGAGGTATGTTTTTCTCAATCAAATTATAATGATTTTAAATATTATAATTTTATTGATCAAAAAATTCATCCATTCTCTCTCTTCCTTTCTATTTTTTTCAAACTAAATATATTATTAAAAAAAAACCCACTATTTATGAAGTCAAGCCCACAACCTTGATTATCGAAGTCTCAATCCCTGGGTCGTAGCCGATTATTGGTTTTTCACTGCTTGGTTTAATAATTGATAGAAAATTATTTCTATTCAAAGTTCAAACTAACTAATTTTATAATGTTAATTCAAGTATAAACAAATAAAAATACCTTAATAATTCTACGTAAAGATACTTTTAAATTTTTCATGTTCAACCTGACATTAAAATTAGCTCATACATCTCAAATGAAATTTCAAAAACTTTGATTGTCATGATTACAGCGTGTTTGGCAGTTGTAATAGATAATGTTGGTTGTTAGTTACACTAATATATAGAAATGCATAATTGTATTTCCCTTTTTCTTGGGTCAATACTTTATCTTATACATGTGCCTTTAATTGTTGCCTGTATAACGAAATGATCAAGAAGGGACACAATAACCCGCATTGGATTAGCAGAGAAGGGAAGAAAATGACCAACCATATCATGCATGCCACTTCAATTTCTGATGCAAATGGTCCTTGAGACGTGGACAGATGGTGGCTCACTTTAAATCTCATTCTGTTTGCTGCCTTGAAATCATTTTTCAGTCATGACTCTCATGCATGCTGAATAAAGCTAGCTAGCCCATGGACAAGATATGATATATAAAAGCTTTAATGAGCGGGTATGCATGAGCATGAATGAATCTGGGTTTAGCGTATCCACCAAACAAACATCATGTGTTGATTCAGTTTCATTAAACATTACAGATGTATGCCTACACGCTTGCCCCCACACTCCTCTCGCTCTTCAAATCCAAAATAATTAAGATTTTAAGGCCGTCATCAAGGGAAACTTTTCTCACTCTTCAAATCTAAATTTTTATATATAAAAATGCATTTTTTAGTGTCCCTGAAGTCAAGTACTATCTATTCTGACCTCAACTGTTTACTGTGTTTGTAGTGGGCCGATCTCATTCTCGATGAATAAGAAGCTAGCGTAAAAGATGCATTATTCTTACCTTTAGAAGTCTATAGTCTATGCACCAAAAAACAAATAATAATAATCATAAAATGTGTTTTTCAGTTCAAACTACTTAATAACACTACAGTTTAAGTCATGAATTTATCTAATTATTTTTAAAGAAACTCTCTCCATATATTAACTTATTAACGTTAATTTTGGTAATTTTGATACCCAAACTATGGTTTTAATATACAATCCATACAAAAAAAAAAAAAAAAAAAATTCTCTTTTACATGTAAATAATTTTTTTCTTTGCCATACAATAGAAGTGTAACTTGATAACTAACAACATCATACTATTAGTCTCAAGAGTTGAATTTACAGAGCATTGTACTACTTATATGTTAAATTTAAAATAGATTTAAATTTTTAGGCAAATACAATACATAAAATTAATATAAAACGTGTCTTTAAAATTGCTTAAAATGCATGTAATTCTTTTTATATTTATGGTTAAGGAGTTTTTAAATAAATTTTTATATACTTTGAGAGTAATTTTTTTCAGTGATTTTAATAACGACGCATCACTCACATCTACATAATATATTTAAGAAAATTACAGTAATTTTTTTATATATTAATTGTAAAATTTAAATCTTAAATTTAATATATAAGATAATATTTATTTAATTATATGTAGGTATGTCAGTATGTAACCCTTGGATTAAAATGCACGCGACTTGGTTCAAACCCATTAAGGTTTGGAATTCAAATTACATAATTGTTGCATCTTCCAAAAAAAAAAAAAAAAAACATAAATTTAATATATAAGATAATATTTATTTATTTATATGTAGGTATGTCAGTATGTAACCCTTGGATTAAAATGCACGCGACTTGGTTCAAACCC